CTCCTTCACCCCTCACCTCCCCCATCTCACCAATAGGAGGGTTTCCGATGGCGTGGGTTTTATCCCCCCTGAACACTTGCTGGGAGACAGGCCCTTCCAGTTCCTAAAGCAGAAGCATGCTGGGTATTTACCCTGTGCCAACCGTCTGAATAACAGAGAAAACCCACCCCTCATGCCTCATAATGAGAAGCTGGGGCAACACATGGGGCTTTCCCACTCGTCACAAATGATGGCTGTTTGTGCTAGTTAACCTTTTCTAAGCCTGGGTCAGCTCCTGCTGGGAGGCAGGGGCGATCTGGAGAGAGTGAAAGCCTGGCAGACCCCAAAGTCTCCAGCACACTTTGGCCCCCAACACATGCCACTGCCTTTGCAGAATACCAAACCATCCCACATCATGCTCTTCATAAGTCAGCCGGGCTCCATGTGCAGCTGACAGTTCGGATTCCAGAGGAGAACTGCCTCCAGGAACACTCTGCAGATACTTCCTGGTAACTTTTATTTTCTGGCACAGCTTATCTTCTCTTTTCAGAGGAATCTCTAAAAAAGGATGAAATGGAAATTTTCCCATCCTGGGCCTTATTATTTTCAGCAGTCTCCACTAGCTGTTTAAAGAGAAGACTTCTTTGTAGTTTCAAAGCCTAAAGTCAAGTCAGTAATACACATTTTAATAACTTGTGCCTTAAGCGTATTGACTGAAGCAAAATGAAGACAGGGCGATTAAGAAATACACTTCTAAGTCCCATTCTTTGGGTATCTGGGGAGAATTTTGCAAGTGTCATGGGGGAATGCTATCTAATGGAGTATGGGGGAAGAAGGGCAGCTGAAAGGGAAATTTTGGAAATCTCTTTGGGGGTAAGGGGAACAAGTTCAAAAATGATGAAAATTCAAAGCCCAAGTGAGAGGTTGATTTTGTCTCACCATTGAAATAGCCAAACCTCATAAAAGGAATCAGATGTTGCAAATTGCAGGTTGAAATGATCAGTGGAAATGCATTTATCACAGCTGCCAGCGTTCTGAAGCGCCGAACTCATACCCTGTAACATACTCCAGAGAGACCTGAACAGTCTGTAGAGCTCAAATTCTCAAATCCCACCATCCCTGACTATCTCCTGCTGCCAGCTCAGACCTGTGGATTATTGTGCTAATTCAACACCATCTGCTTATAAGGTGGTATTGTTCAGAATGGTGTGTTTATGTGGCAACGGGTATCCTGAGAAGGGAGGAGGAGCTGACGCACAGTTGAAATAGTTCATTAACCCCAAAAGCAGTTAGCTGTGAGAAGCTTAATGCAGAGCTGCTACAGCATTTACAGGAATAGACAAAGTCTAACATCTCAGGCATTACATGCTGAGGAAATCCACCTTTGAGTTAAATCCTTGCTTATTTAAAAGCAATCCTATGGGCTCCATTAGAATTTACTATTTGTGGCTATTAATAGTGGTAAAGAGAGGAGTAAAATAAGTGAAACCAAAGGTTGAGATCTTGTACTACTGTTCATTGGGATGATTTGACACCAGATGCTGACACGTGGACAGGATTCACCCCCTACTTTTAAGTCATGCCCAGGTACCTGGAGGATGGGCATTTATTGCTTTCCGTAAAACCATGGTATAGTTTGCAATGGTGTTTTTTTTGTTGTTGTTTTGGGTGCACACTGTTATACTACTTTGGGAACATTGAATGGTAGAAACAACATGGGTTCAGGGACCAAAAAGTTTGAATCTCTGCCCTACCCCTCACTGCCTGTGTGATTTTGAACATGTTTCTGAACTTCTCTGAGCCTTGGTTTCCTCATTGTCTAAAACATGGACAATACTTGTCCTGAACAGTTATTAGAGGATTAAGTAGAAGAATGTCTGTGAATGCATCTGGTGTGGTATTTGGCGCAAAGTGGCCGTCTTCCTTTGGTGTTGCTATAAAGGAATACTGGAAACTGGGTAATTTATAAGGAAAAAATTCAAATTTATTTGGCTCATGATTTTGATGTCTGGAAAAGTTCTAGATTAGGCATCTGGTGAAGGCCTTGGGTGGTTTCCATTCATGGCGGAAGGCGAAGGGGAGCTGGCGTGCAGAGAGAACACAAAGTTAGGGAGGGGGCAAGAGAGAGGAGGGGTTGCTGCCTGGCTCTTTTTAACAACCAGCTCTCTGGAGAACTAACAGAGCAAGAACTCCCTCACCATGCACCAAGTGGTCACTAATCTATTCATGAGGGGTCCCCTCCATGACCCAAACTCCTCCCAATAGGCCCCACCTCCAATATTAGGGATCAAATTTCAACATGAGATTTGGAAAGGACAAACATCCAAACTATAGCATCAGACAAAAGAATTTTCCCTTGACTATAGTCTCCTTTATGCCAATTCATGTTTCAAATACTACTTATAAGCTATATGACACTGGTTGGGCCTAATTGAACTTTGTCTCTTGCTTTCTCCATTTTTTTCTTATATCTATGTCTTCTCTTTCTGGCTTCTTTCATGAGCAGAATATATATATATATCTCCCTGTGTTTGGCATTTGTTAAATGTTCCATTTCTTCTACCATTCATTCATTGATTCATTCAACCCATGAAATCTGTTACATGCCTATAATAAGCCAGTATTGCAAAGAAGTATAAATAAAGTCTATATTTTTGGGGAACTGACAATTTGGGGATAGAAAGTATGATAGCATCCTTCAAAATCTGAATGGCTGTTGTTAAAATTACGAATAATTAATGGGGCAAGGACTCTATTTTACTTATCCCATTGTCTAAACCCAGAGCTCAGTTCAGACATGCCTTCATTGTATAAACTTAAAAGTTAAAGAACAGAGATGATATTTGCTTAGTGGGTAGAAATAGGACCAGCTGGTAACAAACACTGGATTTCGTATCAGCATAAACAAATTCTAACATTGTGAAGGCACACACTGAGGATGGGTGAAATCCTAGTCATGGGTGGTTCAGGTTCTGGCCCCCTGAGAGATGTGGAGGAGTAGCTGCAAGCCTAACTGGGAATTTATAGTTCCTTCAGAGACATCTGCATAGCTATGTGTTTGCAGGCTTGAAATACTGATCGTATCAGTCAGAAAGGAAGGAATAGAAAGTACCAGAAAGGAAGAGAAAACACTACTCATGATAGCATGAACAATAAGAGAACTTATAGCTCACCAACAATATGTCAGAATGAGGGAAACTCCAAGTTGGTTTCTGTAGAAGCTCTATAATGTCGACAAGCACCTGATGGGCACTAATTTATTCATGAGGGGCCTGCCTCCATGACCCAAACTCCTCCCATTAGGCCCCGCCTCCAACATTAGAGATCAAATTTCAACATGAGATTTGAAGGGGACAAATGACAAGATTCCTTCCATCTCATCATTCTGTAGTCTTTAGCATGTTTCCCTCAGAGTAACCCCCTCATGCTTACAAGGTGGCTGCCACAGATCCAGCTCTCAAGTGCAGACATGTTCATGTCCGGTGGCAGAAAAGAAACCATTTCTTTCTAAATTTTTTTGATAAGGAAATCTTTCTCAGAAGCCTTTCAGCAGACTTGCTTCCCATCTCATTGCCCAAATTACAACATATACCGAATTTAATCCCTGACAAGAAGAAGAGGACCAGCCTATAGGCTGCCAGAAGTCAATTGGGTTCTCTAAGTAAGAAAGAAGAAAAGTAACTGCTGTTGAATGGGAACCACTAATGCCAAATACAGACAGCCTGATGCAATGAAGAAAGCATGAGTTTCGGTTCTGTTCTACTGTTTGGTAGCTGTGTGACCTTGAATGTATCTGTCTTCTCAGGCTGCTATAACAAAATACTGCACATTGGGCAGCTTTAACAATATAAATTTATTTTCTCAAAGCTGTGGAGGCTAGCAGTCCCAGACTGAAATGCCAGCTGATTCAGTTCTTGCTGAGGGCTCTTTTCTTGCCTCGTTAATGGCTTCCTTTTCCCCGTGTCTTCACATAGGCTTTTTCTGTGCACATGGAGAGCGAGCATGTCAGGATTGAGCTTTCTGGTGCTTAATGATTTCCTTGCTCCAAACATAGTCACATTGAGGGTTAGGGCTTGAACATATGAATTTCGGGGAGAAACAATTCAGTTCAGAGTATAGGGAAAATTACTTAACTCTCTAAGCCTTTCTTTCCTACCTCTGCAAATGGGACTAATCATATACACCTCCTAGTGTTCTCCTGGGAATACGATGAAATAATGACACATATGCTCAAACTTACCCCAAAGCCTTGAGTTACATTAGTTTACATTTTGTTCTTTTCACTCCATCAACTAAAACCAGACAACTCATGCAATGATAGAAACGTCACCAAATCACACGGCTTTCCATAGTGCATACTGATTTTAAGAATTGAGTTCCAGTTTCTGACAACCAGAGTAGCTTAAATATGCTTAGAAAAGGTAAATAATGCTTTATTTGCCTGAAGATTATATTATTTCATCTCAAAGTTAATGTGGTAATTTTATTGCAGAAATATTGTTATGGATTCCCTATCATTCTTTCTTGAGGATTAAAGGGAATAAAGTTGAAAACTCTACATAGTTGAAAGATAAAACATACCTGGGTGATTGGTTTCTTGCAACTAGCAGAGACACTTAAGAGAGCAGCCTCTGAAAGCAGATTTTGTTTTGTTTTGTTGTTTTTTTGAGACAGAACTTCACTCTTTTGCCCAGGCTGGAGTGCAGTAGCGTGATCTTGGAGTGCAGTGGCATGATCTTGTCTCACTGCAACCTCTGCCTTCTGATTTCAAGCGATTCTCCTGCCTCAACCTCCCAAGTAGCTGGGATTACAGGTGCCCACCACCATGCCCAGCTAATTTTTGTATTTTCAGTACAGATGGGGTTTCACCTTGTTGGCCAGGCTGGTCTCGAATTCCTGACCTCATGATTCACCCGCCTTGGCCTCTCAAAGTGCTGGGATTACAGATGTGAGCCGCTGTGCCCAGTCTGGCAGATTGTTTTTACTGGCTGCATCATATTGACAAAATTATTTGGACAGAGCGGAGAAAGTGAGGAGGCTGCGTCTGGCTGCCGCTCTCACAGCCATTGCAGTACATTGAGCTCCATAGAGACAGCGCCGGGGCAAGTGAAAGCCGGACGGGCACTGGGCAACTCTGTGCCTCACTGAGGAAAAATAACTAAACATGGGCAAAGGAGATCCTACAAAGCCGAGAGGCAAAATGTCATCATATGCATTTTTTTTTGCAAACTTGTCGGGAGGAGCATAAGAAGAAGCACCCAGATGCTTCAGTCAACTTCTCAGAGTTTTCTAAGAAGTGCTCAGAGAGGTGGAAGACCATGTCTGCTAAAGAGAAAGGGAAATTTGAAGGTATGGCAAAGGCAGACAAGGCCCGTGATGAAAGAGAAATGAAAACCTATATCCCTCCCAAAGGGAAGACAAAAAAGAAGTTCAAGGATCCCAATGCACCCAAGAGGCCTCCTTCGGCCTTCTTCCTGTTCTGCTCTGAGTATCACCCAAAAATCAAAGGAGAACATCCTGGCCTGTCCACTGGTGATGTTGCGAAGAAACTGGGAGAGATGTGGAATAACACTGCTGCAGATGACAAGCAGCCTTATAAAAACAAGGCTGTGAAGCTGAAGGAAAAATATGAAAAGGATATTGCTGCATATCGAGCTAAAGGAAAGCCTGATGCAGCAAAAAAGGGAGTTGTCAAGGCTGAAAAAAGCAAGAAAAAGAAGGAAGAGGAGGAAGATGAAGAGGATGAGGAGGAGGAGGAATATGAAGAAGATGAAGATGAAGAAGATGATGATGATGAATAAGTTGGTTCTAGCGCAGTTTTTTTTCTTGTCTATAAAGCATTTAACCCCCCTGTACACAACTCACTCCTTTTAAAGAAAAAAATTGAAATGTAAGGCTGTGTAAGATTTGTTTTTAAACTGTACAGTGTCTTTTTTTGTATAGTCAACACACTACCGAATGTGTCTTTAGATAGCCCTGTCCCGGTGGTATTTTCAATAGCCACTAACCTTGCCTGGTACATTATGGGGGTTGTAAATTGGCATGGAAATTTAAAGCAGGTTCTTGTTGGTGCACAGCACAAATTAGCTATATATGGGGATGGTAGTTTTTTCATCTTCAGTTGTCTCTGATGCAGCTTATACGAAATAATTGTTGTTCTGTTAACTGAATACCACTCTGTAATTGCAAAAAAAAAAAAAAAAAAAAGTTGCAGCTGTTTTGTTGACATTCTGAATGCTTCTAAGTAAATACAATTTTTTAAATTAGTATTGTTGTCCTTTTCATAGGTCTGAAATTTTTCTTCTTGAGGGGAAGCTAGTCTTTTGCTTTTGCCCATTTTGAATCACATGAATTATTACAGTGTTTATCCTTTCATATAGTTAGCTAGTAAAAAGCTTTTGTCTACACACCCTGCGTACCATAATGGGGGTAAAGTTAAGTTGAGATAGTTTTCATCCATAACTGAACATCGAAAATCTTGATCAGTTAAGAAATTTCACATAGCCCACTTACATTTACAAACTGAAGAGTAATCAGTCTACTCAAAGCATGGGATTGTTAGAATCAAACATTTTGAAAATCTGTCCTTGAAGGACTAATAGAAAAGTATGTTCTAACCTTTACATGAGGACTCTATTCTTTAACTCCCATTACCATGTAATGGCAGTTATATTTTGCAGTTCCCACATTAAAGAAGACCTGAGAATGTATCCCCAAAAGTGTGAGCTTAAAATACAAGACTGCCATATGAAATTTTTTGTTGACATTAGTCTCAGTGAAGACCATGAAATGCTGGCTATAGATGTCTTTTCCCATTTATCTCAATATGGACTGCTCAGGAAACGAGATTTTCAATTACAAGTATTTTTAATTAATTGGGCCAGCTTTTAAAATGAAGATGCCTCATTCAAAATAGGGTATATTTTCCTATATTATGGTTTGCCGCTTTATAAATCCAAGTAGATAGGAGGAAAGAAGACACTTAAACTTTGCATCTCAGTATGAATTATTCAATTTATTTGAATGATTTTTCTTTACAAAACAAACTCATTAGTCATTATCTGCTTAGCAGTTTAGGGAACAATTTGGCAATTTTGTGGTTTTCGAGATTATCATTTTCTTAAAGTGCCAGTATTTTAAAGTAGCGTTCTTGTAATTTTACACACTTTTGTGATGGAGTGCTGTTTTGTTATATAATTTTGACTTGGATTCTTTCCATTTGCATTTGTTTATGTAATTTCAGGAGGAATACTAAACATCTGAGTCCTGGATGATACTAATAAACTAATAATTGCAGAGGTTTAAAAAAAATTATTTGACTGCTGTAGGTTTCAGTTTTCTCATTTGTAAAGTTGTAATAATAATACTTTATTTATAATAATATTGATAATTATAATATTTTGCTAATGGGGTTACTACAATGAATTATGACAATACTGCTAATAATAATATTTTACTTCAGGGGGTTGCTGTTAAGATAACTTGGGTTAATATACATGAAGTGCTTGGATCAGTGCCAAGCTTGATCCATCATCACCATCATCAACATCATCCACAAATAACACTCTAGGAAACAACCTGTAGCCAAATCTTTGCTTTCATTGAGATGGATTCCTCAAGGAGCTACATTGTGGGGTCACAAGGCATTTGTCACTCAGCTTCTTTAAGACTCAAGAACTTCATCCAGCCAGGTGTGGTGGCTCATGTCTGTTATCCTACTACTTTGGGAGGCAGAGGCAAGAGGATCACTTGAGTCCAGGAGTTCAAGACCAGCCTGGGCAACATAGGGAGACCTCCCCGCACCCAATCTCTATAAAAAGTGAAAGAAAATTAGCTGGATCTGGTGGTGCATGCCTGTAGTCCCAGTTACTTGGAAGACTGAGGCAGGGGGATCACATAAGCCCAGGAGGTTGAGGCTGCAGTGAGCTGAGATTGCGCCAACTGCAGCCTGGGTGACAGAGCAAGATCCTGTCTCAAACAAAACAAAACAAAACAAACAAAAAACAAACAAAAAAACTCCCCAGACCTGCCCCCCCCCCCACAAAAAAACCCTAAAAAGAACAACTTCCAATTTAGCTGAGCCAGGCATGTTTTGTGACAGCATTGCCTGGAGTCAGGAGAAGACAACTCTGATCAAAACCAGCTGCAGGTCCTGTGATACTGAACTTTTCTTGTCACTGTGATATCAAGGCATGCCTGAAAGTGCTTCCTGGAGGTGTCCTGTAACTGTCTTGGCACTTATTTGCAGTCTATATGTTGATGGACCTCAGAATACTACCTATGTTCTGCCCCTTAGCAGCTATTCATCATAGGCTACCTTGCCAGGGAATGACCCAGGGCATTGTGACAGATCAATTTACTTAATGGATTATACATTTCAAGTAACTTGAAGTTGATTTGGTCCAGCCTGACTGTTGCTGGGCTGATCATCATTCTGATAAATGACAAGGTTGCTGGGTTTGTTCCCTGGTGGTATTTTACAGGCAGGGCTTGCCCAGGGTTTAGCTGTGCTTGGTGCTAATGGAGAAGGCATGTGGAGGCTTGGGAAGCAGGTCTCTCTGGTTTTGGAACACAAAGGACACACACAGAAAACCTGACCAGGCACTTTTTTTTTTTTTTGCCACCTCTGTGTGCCTCAAGGCAGTGTGGCTGGAAACGATGGGAATCTGTTCTTGCCAACTCTTTGATTCCTCCTTATAGGACCAAGCTCTCTTCCCTGGCAGAAGGAAGAAATTGGGGCAGCTGGAAAGACTCAAATAACTGAGTTTGTCTCCCCTTTAATCTTTCTTTGTAGGTGAACTAGAGGCCAGAGAATAAACAGGTGATAAAAGAGCAAGAAATCCTTGCAAAAGGATAGGCAGAATGCATCTTAGGGGCTGTGAAAAGAAGCTAAAGAAGGTCAGATTCTGTTACACCTTAAACCCACTTAAGCTGAGCAAGAAGAATAATTGAATTAAATTGTGGCAGAAGGAAAATTTTTCCAGGAGCAAGGGTTGGATAATGACTATGCTTTACCCAAAGTGCACAGCACTTGGCATGTCCCCACACGTCCCCAACATGCCTATTCAGTGAGTGAATGATGGTGACAGGAAGGGCTCACAGGCCTCCATCCTGGTCTTAGTTCCAACACTTATCTCTATGGTCTTGGGCAAGTTCCCTACACATTCTGAATCTGTTTGCTTACTTTTAAAGTGGAACTAATAATACCTCTTTTATGGGGTTGTTGAAAGATTCACGATATATATATATATGAAAGTGAACCTCATATTCCAAAAGTTCTATAACACCTGTTGTAAGTGATATTAAAATATCACTTAAAATCACTGTTTTAAGTGATATTAAAATAAAGCAATGCTGTCATTGCTTAATGATATCTTCTAAACATCGAGTGTCTACATATAGACACTACATATATATACATATATAGAGTATATATACATGTATATATGTACACATCTATATATAGACACTCATATAAATGTAAATCATAGACACATCTATATATAGACACTCATATAAATCTATATATAGACACTGTATATATAAACACTCATATAAATGTAGTGTCTATAGACACGTATATATAAATTATATACGTATATATAGACACTTGATGTTTAGAAGCTATCATTAAGCAACTACAGCAATGTTTTATTTTAATATCACTTAAAACAGGTGTTATAAAAGTTTTGGAATATGAGGATCCCTTTCTAATGTTAATGTAATTTGCAGATACCCTTTAAACGAGGATACTATTATTGATAGAGAAGATATATAATGGCCAAAAGCTATAAAAAAATCAGTAACATTTTTAGAATGAGTTTTTATTTGATGAATTGAAACAGCACATATACACATAGGCTGTCCAAAGAAATGATGAGACATTTATTCCCTCTCCAGACAAGATATGATGCTTATATAAATTATTGTGAGCTCCCACAATAGCTCCATAGACCGCCAAGTGACTGGGACCTACGAGTCCAAAAGGATTAAATTCTAACTATAGATGAGCATCTTTATAAGAGAGGGCTCATTTATGTTAGCTATTGATATTAAGCTAAGTTAGATGCAGCAGATGGCCTTGCTGCACAGAGATGGCCCTTCAGACTGACATCATTCAATCTTGGGACTTTTTTCCTTCCTTGGGACTTCTAGGTTTGTGCTTACTTGCCACAGAGCATGCTAGACACCGTCTCCTTCCATAATCCTGTAACAATGGGGCTTGTTTCCAGGCTGACCTGTTGAGTCTAGCAGTGCAGCCTCTGACTGTGGAAGTTTGGTTCCCGTGTGTAATTTCTTCTGCCATCTAAACCATTGTGGACTTGCATCTTAGTAGAGTCTGAGATGAGGACTTGTTTGCAGGCAATACATTTTGGGAAGTAATTTCAAGGTGCAGGGAGTGAAAGCCCATCCAAGGGTGTATTATTAGCTGGTTACTGTTGAGGGCAATAGGAACACAATCCTGTTGGGGACTCTCTGAAGAGTTGTGCAGAATATACTTCGAAATAGTCTCCTGAGGCATGAAAGAGGGGGGCATTCTAAAAATCAGCTCCCATATCCCAATGGTCGAGGAGTGCCCTATGGAAGGTAATCTTCCTTTTCCTTCCAGGTTTGCACATGTGTCAGGATGACTAACTGGGGCTGTGCTGGAGAGCCATGAGAGATGTGGGTGCTATTGAGGTGCAAAGTTGTCAAACGGCTCCTGGGCATAGCTGGTGTTACAGAGAGGGCTGGGACAAAAAGCCTAGCTGTATTAGTCCATTCGCATGTTGCTAATAAAGACATACCCAAGACTGGGTAATTTGCAAAGGAAAGGGCTTTAATGGACTCACAGTTCCACATGGCTGGGGAGGCCTCACAATCGTGGTGGAAGATAAAGGAAGAGCAACCGATGCCTTACCTGGTGGCAGCGAGAAAGCATGAGAGCCAAGCAAAAGGGGAAACCCCTTATACAGCCATCGGATCTTGTGAGACTTACTACCACGAGAAAAGCATGGGAGAAACAGCTCCCATGATTCAATATCTCCACCTGGCCCTGCCCTTGACATGTGGGGATTATTACAATTCAAGGTGAGATTTGGGTGAGGACACAGCCAAACCATATCACCAGCCAAAGAAACATGAGGTGCACAAAAGGTGCCAACCAGGAGACAAAGCACAACTGTGGGGAGACAGAATTAAGGATCAGGTCTGGTTATCCATTAATGTCTTTTGAGCCCAATTCTGTGCTGTTAATCTATAGACTTAGGCAGATTTAAATTTTTGAGTT